GGGCCCGGGGCCTCCCGAGCTAAGAAGGGGGAGTCAGGGAGGCATACACAGCAGGAACTGCGGGCTCAGCCCACGGCCCTTTGAAAGATACCTGTGCTACCTCGGATGTGTCCCCGGGGGGATGATCTAAAGCAGACTGAGGACAGCACACGCTGAGTGACACACGCCATCTCCCAGACGACCCCCCTCGAGGAGTTATTTTCTTCCCAGGAGGGAGCCCTGCCTTGCTGGGGTGCCCTTCCCTTCGGGAGACAGGCAGCTGGGGCCGCGGCCCCTCTCTGGGGCCAGCCGGGGTCCTCTACCTGCCGTCTTGCGGAAAGATCTGCAGAGAGGAGCCCTCAGTGGTGGCTGAGAAGGCCTGTCCTGGGCACTGGGGGCTCCTCGTAGACGGCTGGAGGAACCCGCTTCCCAAGGGCTCAGGAGAGGCTGGCAGGAAGCCCCTCCCCCGGGGAGCCAAGCTGGTCAGTTTCAGCTGTCCTTGAGACCCAGAAGGGGGCCCAACCCGCTGCCAAGTTCAGTGGCTGCCTGAGGTAGAGTTATTCTCCTCATCGCACAGATGATGAGACCAAGGCTAGACAAGTCACGGCACTTGCTCAGGGTCCCTCCGTAAGCGAGGTTGGGCAGAGCCCCAAATGCGCCCAAGTCGGCCCAGCTCTACGTTGAGGGCAAGATGGCAGGCCACCCTAGCAGGCTCCCAGGGGGGCGGTTCTCACTGGGCTCACGTTGCCTTCCGGTCTCCTTTGGGAGCTGCTTGTCCCTCCGAGAGGCGACTGCCAGGTTTTCCACTCCGCGCACTCGTTCAATCGCCAGGCGGTGGCTAGCTGAGCCCCGAGAGCCTGGCTGTGAGCACTTAGAGCTGAGGCAGGCCCTCAGGGGGCTCCAGCTCCTGGCAGCCTAGGAGGGGACCAGCCGCGCCCCCGAGGGGACCGGCAATCGGAGGCCAGGACCGGAGTGTCAGCTCTGCCGCTTACCAACCACGGCATCCAGGACGCCTCCCCAAGCCTCAGTTTCTCTATCCGTACAATGGGAATAAAACGCATCCACTTTTCCGGATTACTGCAAGAATGAAAAAAGAGCTGAGGTCCACGATCGCCTAGTCAAGTTCCTTGTGTTTTAGGATTCAGAAGAATTCGGGGGGATCTTCGAAACAGAAGAAGCCGAAAAGCCCATTTATTTTGTTATCTGGCTCTCCAGCACGATCTGGGACAGGGCCCTGGAATCAAACGCATTAACATTTCTGCGGGAAAACTAATGCATATTCACTGTCCATAGGGTAAATAAAGACTAAAAATAGTAGCCAAATGAATTTTTTTTAAATTTTTTTTTAAATTTTTTTTTCAACGTTTATTTATTTTTGGGACAGAGAGAGACAGAGCATGAATGGGGAAGGGGCAGAGAGAGAGGGAGACACAGAATCGGAAACAGGCTCCAGGCTCCGAGCCATCAGCCCAGAGCCCGACGCGGGGCTCGAACTCCCGGACCGCGAGATCGTGACCTGGCTGAAGTCGGACGCTTAACCGACTGCGCCACCCAGGCGCCCCCCAAGTGAATTTTTAAAAAGCTTTTGATGCCCCGGGGGGTTGGGGGGGGGGGTCTCAGGATGGTGGGTAAAAGATGTAGATAGTAATGATAGTTACTATTCACTGAGAGCTTCCTGATTTACATGCATTAGCTCCTTGAACCCTCACAGCCACTCCGCGAGCACAGGGACCATCGTCATATCTGTTTTGAAGTCAACGCCGGGAGACCAGAGAGGCTGATTCATTTGCCCACAAGCACCCAGCTGCTAAACGGACCTAGGCAGCCAGGCTTCAGCATCTGTGTCTCTGGGGAGGTTAGAAACGAGCACGGCGGTGGGGCCGCTGGCCTGGTCTCAGCACCTTAACCGATCTTCGTGATGTAACAGGCAGGCACAGAGAGGAGAAGTGACAGCCAGGGTGTCCTACCACGTTCCCGGACTCCTGATCCCACTCTCTCTCAGATCCCACCCCTCCGGCCTCCCCCACAGCCCTAGCCCCTGCCCCAAACGTGCTCCCCTGCGTTGAGGAGTTAGGGAAACATTCACATCACTTGGCCGCCTTTCTGCCTCTTTTTCCCCCTGTGTGACCTGACCCCCGCCCCCATCTCCCAAGACCCCCATCACCCTCCTGCTCTTCCCTGAGGGAGCAAAGAGGCCTTCCGGGGGCAGTGGCCGCGAGGGAATGTCCCTGGGACCCAGCAGCGTAACTTCCACTTGACTCTAAGTATACAGACTGAGTTACGGGAGGCCCCAGAGCGCCGGACCTGGAGTAAGACAGGTCTGGATTTCAACTCCAGCTCCTTTTCTCCAAGCCCGGCAGTGATCTCAGCCCCCTGAGGCCTAGACAGCATAGTGGGAATTCAACTGGGGGTTGGGGTGCATTTGCAAGTTAAGGACGTTAGCTGGAGCCCTTCTGACCAGGCTTTAGCCCCGGGAGACTTCTTGCCAGCCTCTCTCCGGAGCCCTTGGGAAGCAAGCTCCTTCGGCCACCCACGAGGACCCCCTGGTGCCCAGAACAGGCCTTCTCAGCCACTGAGGGCTCCTCTCTGCGGATCTTTCCACCAGACGGCGGGTAGAGGACCCCGGCTGGCCCCAGAGCAGGGCCGCGGCCCCAGCCACCTGTCTCCCGAAGGGAAGGGCACCCCAGCAAGGCAGGGCTCCCTTCCTGGGAGGAAATGGCTCCCCGAGAAGGTTTCCCTGGGGGACGGTATGTGTCACTCAGCACGCGCTGTCCCCTCTGGTTTAGTTCTTATCACCCGGAACACGCACTCACCGCACAGCAGCCCTGAGAGCTGTGACCCCACGGCCTCTTGGGCAAATCTCCAACTTCTGCTGCTCAGAAAGCTGTGAGGCTGGGCCTGGGGGCCTCCCGGCACCCTCTCCGATGGGACTGGGGGAGGGGAGCTCAGGCTGCCAGCGGGGACCCCTGGTCCCAGCGTTCCGTCTGGGGGGAGGGAAATGGTTCTCTCCGGCGGGACGACTTATGGCGCACAGTACAGTTGTGTGAGTCGGGAACCCCAGTGTGAATCTGGTTCCACCTCCTACGAGCCCCGCCTCATAAGCTCGCTCACCTCGCTGAACCTCTGTTTCCCGCTCTGTGAAATGGAGATGAGAATTTCTCTTGGGGCCAAGGGCTGTCGTTAAACAAGATCATCGATTCTACAGCAGAGGTTTCCTGAGCCCCTGCTCCGTGTCAGTCGCGTCACTGAGTGCTTTGGGGGGAGCCCTGAGCGGACAGACTGGGGCTGGCCGCACAGAGCTTGTGGTACCGCGGGTGAGTGGACAGTCAGGGAGACTGTAAAAGAAAATCCGATTAAGAGGTTTTGGCTTAGCAAGCAATAACTCTCAATATCTACCTTTGGAGGTGGCTGTGCTTAGCTAACGTGAATTTGTGATAGCATTGCTATTCACCCGCGTTTCTTATTCACCGATGGGTTAATAAGAGACTTAAGTGAGATTTTATAAATAAGTAATATAGTCATATATAGATCAATATATTTTAATTTTTTTCTTAATTTATTTTTGAGAGCGCGCGCACGAGTGGGGGAGGAACAGAGGGAGAGGGAGAGAGGAAATCCCAAGCAGGCTCCAAGCTGTCAGCACAGAGCCTGATGCGGGGCTCGAACCCACGAACCGTGGGACCATGACCTGAGCCGAAGTTGGGCACTTCACCAACTGCGCCACCTCGGCGCTCCATAAATATATATGTATATTTATAGTTATATTTATATATGTATATTTATAATATGCATATATATGTATATTTATAATATGTATATATAAATATGTATGTATATTTATAATATGTATATTTATAATACGTATATATAAATATACATGTATATTTATAATACGTATTATAAATATAAATATATATATATATAAATATATATTTATATTATTACACATATAAATATATATTTATATAAATATATTTATATAAATATTAAATATTAAATATGAGTATTTATATAAATGTATAATATATATAATATTATACTAATATGATATATAATATATAATATATAAATTTATATTTCTATATACGCATCATTTCAATCAACCCTCAGAAAGATCATAGGTAGTAGGTATTTTCTCCATTTCTCAGGTAAGGTAACGTGACTTGCCCAAGATCACACAGCACCAAAAGGGTGAAATGGAGACTCCAGCCGAAGTCAGTGTGCCCGAGGGCCCGTGTTCTCATCTGAAAGGACACGGCCTCCTCTTAGCTCGGAGGCCATGCGTGGTGTGTGTTAAAGGGCTCTCTACAAATTACAATGCTCTGGACACATGTAAGGGGTCATTGCAGCTCTGTTTCCTGCTTTGCACCTGGTCCCTTGAACACCAGGCCGTTGAGGCGAGGGTGGGAGCCAGAGAGACAAGCCACATGGAGGTGTCACAGGAGGAATTAGCCTCCCTTGACAAGTGGGGGACACACGACATGTGGAGGCGGCATCCTGGCTGATGCTTTCTTGGGGTTTCTGGTTGCTGCTCAGTCCCAGAGGGGAACCATCCCTGGAGAGCTCAGATGGCCCACCGCATCGCCTTTGGCTAGTCGTTGTCCCCGTCATTGGAGAGCTCGTCCCACCCTAGAGGATTCCCTAAACCCTGGATCGTCCCATCTGGGAGGAGACATAAGCTGTAGTGACAGACACACCTGGCTCTGAATCCCCACACAGCATTTCCCCGCTGTGTGACCCCCCGGCACGTCATCTAACCTCTCGGAGCCTTGGTTTCCTTGTCCGTCGAGTGGGGGCAAGCTCCTGTCTGCAAGGTTGTTGTCAGGATTAAAATAATGAAGACAATGAAGGGTGGTGCCTGATATAGAGCCCACACTCGGTAGATGGTAGGAGATGAAAAAAAAAAAAAAAAAAAAAAAGTGGCTCGGGTGGGTGGGTGTCACCGGATAGAAATAGCGCCTGTCATTGCCTGTCTGCTGTGCATACCCGAAAGGGGCAGGGATGACACTGAATCCGGCCAATTAGGAGATCTCCTATAAAAATTTAACTCTTCAATAAAACAGCGCAAAATGAAACAGGTGAAGGGTTTTTAAACTGTAAATTAATGATCTATGGTTATGGCCGTAATAATAATAATAATAGCTGTCAATTACGGACTATGGAAGGCCGAGTCTGGGCCAGGAGCTCCACGCACGTGGGGGCCAGCTTGCACCTTCTGATTAGGGACCCCATGCGTTTGCGGGCCAGGGGACCAGGGTTCGGAGAGGTCAGTGGCTCGCCCGCCCTGCCACAGACGCTGGGGAAAATGTCAAAGGGATGCGCGAAGCCACAGTTTCTCACACCTGTGTCCTCTCTCCACGGTCTGGGCGCATTCGAATACTCCTTAGATTATAGAGCAAAACGACCCAAGAGCGAGCGTTATCCCTCATTCCGTCTACCTATCTGGTCTTGCCCCTCTGGACCTCTGTTTCCTCACCCCGGCTCTGCTCCCGAGCCAAGAAAGCCTGGAGGGCCGAGCACTCCCTCAGGCCCCTCCCTGCAGCCCCCGGAGGTCCGTGCGAGCCCCCCCCCACCCCATTTCTCCTGCGTCTCTGTGCAGACAGAAACAGTTCAGTCTTCACATCTCTTCTCCTTCAGAGCTTTCCCGTCCTCAGAGAAGAGACCTGCTCTCCGGGAGCCCTGTGGAATCTTCTCCAGTCCCCTATTGTCCTCACGACTCCTCTTCAGGGTCAGAAACAGACCCGATGCTACAGTTTCGGGGGCAGCTGGAGCCAGGCTAGCAGGTTCTGTCTCTGACGCGGTACAAATTGCTGTGTGGCCTCCGGAGAGTTACTCAACCTCTCTGTGCTTCTGCCTTCTCATCTGCAGAATGAGATTGATAATAATAGCGCCTGCCCTCTAGGACATTTGCGGGATTAACAAATGCCAAGTACGTAGAACAGTGCCTGGCACCTCGTAGGTGCTCGGCCACAACTATCTTCCGGGCCCTAACTGTTCATGGTCACCGGTAGCCGTAACGATTTCCTCCCAATAATAAAGATGAAGGGGTAGAGGTCCCCGTTGCAAAGCCAGGCACGGCACTCAGCCCTTTACCCACATCAGCTCTTATATGTGCCAGGCACGGGGAACGGCCCGCTGCAAATGCTCAATAAACGTCAGGGCCTCTGTGCACCCAAGTCACTTTCTCACTCATGCACTTTTATGATTTATGACACTTTCCCCACCCCCCCCCCCCCCGCCCCAACCTTGTTTTAACCATAATTCGATTAGAAGCAAATGACACTTGGGGCGCCCGGGTGGCTCAGTCGGTTAAGCGCCTGACTCCTGATTTCCGCTCAGGTCGTGATCTCATGTTCATGAGATCGAGCCCCGAGTTGGGCTCCGCGCTGTCAACCCTGAGCCGGCTTGGGATTCTCTCACTCTCCGCCTCTCCTCTCTCTCTCTCTCTCTCTCTTTCTCAAAATAAATAAACAAACTTAAAAAAGGAAGCAAGTGACGTTTTGACTGCCCACAACAATGTGTTTCTTGAAGACAACAAAACTTGCTTTTCTCCTCCATATATTTCTAACCGGACAGGATCCTTCCACAAGTCACCCAGTGATCTCCCGGGCTGGGCTGGCCGCTCTCTGTGGATCCCCATTCTCCTGAACCCTGCCGCTCACAGGTCCCGTGTCCAGCCAGCCCCCGAGTCCTGTTGATTTCCCTTCCAGTGTCCCTCATTCCCAGGCCTGGTTCTCGGTTCCTGCCCAGGCTTCCGCTCCCTCCCGGACTGTGCGACAAGCCCCCTAAGCCTTCCGTCTCCCAACCAACCTCCCGTAAGCAGTCCCCTCTCCGGGGATCAGGTCCCTGTGCAGAAACCCTGGGAGGCTTCTCTCCCAGCCCCCGCCGCCCCCCCATTCTGGGCCCTCCAAAGCATTCCTTCTGACACAATCTCGCCCTGGGCGGGTTTCCTCGCTTTCCCAGCCCAGCTGAGAACTCTTGGCGGTGGGCCTGCGTTCCAGGTGCCGTGTGAACCTTCCAGCTCCCCTGACATCTACCTCAGCTCTGTTTTTAGTTTGAGAAATATTTTTGGACCTGATTTGCCAGTCTGAGTAACTAGGTGTGGTACAAGATGTCAGCAGCTAATTACTTTTAACCATTATTAATAGGTTGGCGCTAATTATCCCTTGCGCTAGGCAAGATTTTGCGAAAGACCGGCAGAGAGGGAGGAGTGAAGGGCTGTGCCCAGGCCACAGGGTGAGCAGGCTGTCGGGATGGTGCTGGGACCCCAGGAGCTGGGTACCAGCAGGGGGAACGAGGGGCAGCCTCTGGGCTGAGGGCTGGGACGGGGCCGGGGCGGGCGGGGCGGGGGGGAGGGGGGGTTCCGCCTCGGTAGGCGGAGCTGCTATCTGGTCTCTCTCCTCCCCCTCTCCCAGAATGCAATCTACCGAAACCTCTTATCGAAAGTATTCTGGAGGTGATAAAAGTGTCACCAAAGATTTGCTCATTTTCTAAACTGTCATTAAAAAAAATTTATGGGCAGGGGGAAATATAGGCAGGGGAGGAGGGCGGGTGGGCAGGGAGAGAGGGAGGATGATTTAAAATCAGTCCCTTCATAAATTAAAGACATTTGCTCACGAGAGGGGGCTCGGAGAGGGAAACGGCTAGAAGGTCGTCGCGTTCTCCACGCCGGGCCGCCGGTCCTCCCAGCCGGTCACACGCTCTGTGGCCTCTTCACCCCCACCTACGCTTGTTGTCAACCCCTCCTAGCTCACCTGCACAGCCAAACCCTTCCTCCACCTTCTCCAACCCCTCCTCCCCCCACACCCCTCCCCTCCCCACCCCCCACCGGCTCCCGCAGCCCCACTGTCCGCACTTGAGCTGGAACTCAAGCCTCCATGGAAGATAAGGGGGCTGGGGCTCGACCCACTGGACCGTAAGGTGCCTGAAGACAGGAGGCCTGCCTCTAACCGTCGCTCGATTCTGAACCCTCATGGTGTCTCCTTGGGGTGGGGAGGGGTGGTGACACGGCACCCAAGAAGGGGAACAAAATTCCCCGAGAAGGTCAAGCCCTCATTATACACACTGGGAACCCGAGGCTCCGAGAGGGGAGACGACTCACCCAAGGCCACGCAGGGGAGCCACCAGAACTCACGTCTCCCGCTTCCAGCTCAGGGGTCCGGCGGACCGTTCAGGAGTTCAGACTCAGGTGATGGCCGCCCCCCCACCCCCGCACTGGCTAGCCGCGTGATCGTGAACAAGTCGCTGAGCCCCACCCCGTGCACCAGGCACCTGAGTCCTTGTAGGTGACAAGCTGTGACAATGTCAGTGCTTTGCCCAGGGATGTCACTTATCACCGTCACTGCCGTTGTCAGCATCTTGATGGGAGGGGGCGGGGGCTGTGCAGGTCAAAGCTGCCTTTTGCGTGGGCCCCCATCACCTGCCCGGCAAGTACCCCAGCGTCCGCTGCGTGCCCGACCCCGTGCGAGGAGGGGGAAGGGGGAGATACAGAGGAAAACAAGGGTAGCTCCAGTCCCTGAGATGCTTCAGCCCAGGAAGGGAGGCCACTGCCACGAATGCGGAGCCCCCTGGGGCTGTTCACAGATGTCCCACCCCTTCCCTCGCTCCTCTGGGCGGGCGGGAGCCCTGGAAGTTAAGTGGCCACGTGTCTTGCTTTGGCCAAGCCGGACCAGCCCAGAAGGAGGCCTCCGGTGGGGGAGGGGAGGGGAGAGGGAGGAAGGAAGAGGGTGTTCCTGGCAGGGGTGAGAGGGAGGGTGTGGCGTGCTCAGCAGGTGCTGACCCACCGAGAAAGGGAAGTGAGAGAGCAGGTTGGGGGCCAGGTTGCAGGCTGGGCCCTTGGGGAGGGGTTCTCAGGTCTGTGCCTAAGCCGGTTCTCACTGCGGGTCCCCGCTAACGCAGGTGCTCAGCGCTCGTCCCAAGTGAGGTTCAGGAAGAGGGGCTGGGACAGTGGCCGCCTGTGGCAAGAGGGGGGGGTCCAGGTCTCAGTGCGCTGCAGATCGGCTCAGGGAGCTTGGCGAGCTGCCTGCCTCGGCCTCTGCCCCCTCTGTCCGCTTCCACGGTGGGTCACGTGTCATCAGTTGCAGGCTCTCCAGACTGAGGACCACGTGCCAGCATTCACAGGAGCGAGTCTGGCAAAAGCAGCAAGCACAACGCGCATCGAAGTAGCGCAATCCAGAACCTCCCTGTTCTGGATTGCCTCCCTGTTCTGGAACGCCTCCCTGTTCGTGTGCGGGAAGCCCCCGGGTGGGGGCAGGGAGAAGAGGACCTAAATCCAGATGGAGAGGTGGGGACAGAGAATTTACGTGCCTGGCATTTAGAAGACAACTTGCTGTGTCACTGAACGTGGCCCGGCATGGCAGGCAAAAGAAGTCCGGAGAAATTCTTGCGGGACCGTGGGCTCCGTGAGCTCCTTGGAGGAGGACCAGCCCGGGATGGGCTATGAAGGCAAGGCATGCAGAGGTGGAGGGGAGAAAGGCAGGCCCAGGTGTCAGGAGGGGCGGGGAACACCGGGCCATGGCCTCTGCAGGCCTGAGCTGGCCCTGCGGTGGGGAGGGTCCTCCAGCTTCTAAGGGGCCAAGGATGTGGGGGAGGACGCTGCAGGCCTCCCAGCTCCACCAGTCCCCACCAGCCCCCTCAAGCCCCCTCCAGCCCCCTCCAGGCCCCTCCCGTCCCCTCCAGCCCTCTCCAGGCCTTCCACCCCCCACCAGCCCCCACCAGCCCCCTCCAGCCCCCTCCAGCCCTCTCCAGGCCCTCCAGCCCCCTCCAGCCCCCACCAGCCCTCTCCAGCCCTCTCCAGCCCTCTCCAGGCCCTCCAGCCCCCTCCAGCCCCCTCCAGGCCCTTTCAG